TTATAGTTAGAAGAGTCATCAATGAGCGTGAAGGATACTTGTATCTCAAGGGTGACATTTGGAGTTGAATGTAGAGCTCAAAATCCATTTGCAATGCTTTCGCTTAGGCGTTGTTGACAAGATCTAGTGAAAATGTGGACCTGATAATAAACGACTAATGGACTAAAAATTATTTTGTGTATTTGGAGTTGGACACTATTTAAGTAGATTTGTGTATGGGTTTATGTGTGTGCTGTCTTCGGATACAGTAATTAACATATACATATGTGCATTGATAACTGAATGATGATATACATTCCTCTTAGTGGTTTTAGACGTTTTAGTTTTCCTTTTTCATTTCCCATTCTAGTCCTATATGAACCCCTACTTCTGAACATTTGTTTAGTCAAGTCGTCTTTTGTTGTCTTCTTGAATCATCAAATCATCGTTCAGCTTCATTTGCACCACCACCACCACCACCAAGATCTCATCTCTAACATCTCATCACCTTCGCTTACAAAACTTTTTATATACCCATTCGTTTACACGAGCTCCGAAATGACAGTGCAAGTGTTAGAGATGTGATGACTGATGGTGACCCATGCAACTGAAATATCACCGACACTGTTTTTCTCGCTGAAACGTGATATTACTGTTCACTTCCTCGTACGATATTCTTTCCTTAACTCTTAGCTCATCAATGCAAAAACACATAAGACCAGTTGATAACTTGATTATTTGCAATTTTTAATTGGGTGATCTCAATATGTTTCATAAGATCCACATATATTGTGGAACCTAATTGTTTTACAGCCCAATCCAAATTAAAGAAGAGATTTAGAAGAAGAGCCCAATGAGAGTCTAGGGATAAGAGAGAGTTTTGAGTTATCGAGTCTAGTGTTACCACATCCGAAGAAAAGAATAGGATTTCAAATCCAAGCTCTACACCTTCCTCTCTTCTCGCTAACTCCCACAAAAAAAAAAACCTGTCAATTCATTTGGCTGTCATATAGGCAGAGAAAACAAACACTAGACCATCTAAGAAATCAAGGGAACAAGTAAAAGGACCATGGTTCGAATATATGTTTGTGCTCTAATACCACGACATGTGTAGAACATTCAATTGCGTAGCCTTCTTTTTTTTTTTTTGTGTAGCAAAAATTAGCCAAGCTTTTATTTTTATTTTTGGAATCCTTCATACGAAAAATGTTAAATTTTAGCATTTTACAGATGACAATTACATAAGTTAAGTAGTATAATTTACGATCCTTTAACATAATACTCGATGTCAACTTTCTAATTCTTGCCCCCCAAGTTACCTTCAATATAAAGCTTGCTGGTGGTACACTTCATTCTTCACAAGATTTGAAACCTTATCTACTTAGAAGTGGGATTATAATGGTTGTGTAAGGGCTCAAACGCAAGAAATCAGAGCTCTAGCTGTTGCAGTGACAATAAGTTCGGAAGGTCAGTGGCTTCTTAAGTTATATGCAAGAAATACTCATATTCCCCTGCTAATATAGTACTGTGAACAAGGCTTAACATAAAATTGAAAGCAGAAAGGGATCACAGAACAGGTTGAACGCATAAATATTGTGAAATGATATAACATGTAATTGTTTTGTTGATTTTTATGGCTATGTTATGCGTTGTGTTATCGGACTCGTAAGAAAGAGACACAAGTCTGGTCCATGGAAGGAGCAAGCAAACAGAAGAGGGAAGAAGGAATAACTAGATTTGAAGAGGAGATCAAGTAAAGAAGAGAGGAAAATACGGACCGATGAGAGCGGAAACTAGCCAAGGTGAATTCAGGATGGTGGTTCACCTCAACCGAGAAACAGCAGATCGGAGCTGCAGGTGGTGTTGAGAATAGTCGAGAAAGAGGAGAAGAATGGCAGTTTCGAGTTGGGGGTTTTAGGAGTGAGTTTCTGGTCAGATATAAGCACGTGAGACAAGAATCATGGTGGATATAGATAGAGATTGTGTTGGAGAAGCCATAGGAACTGGCGATGTGTCAATCAGAGTTGAGCTCCAAAAGTTATTCATGTTGCTTCCTGCGCAAGAAACATCTCAAACTGGTCAACCTAAAACCCTAAAAAATAAATCCATGGTGGCTTCTTTGGGGCAGCCTTTGGAGGTCTAAAAGTAGTCTGATAATTTATTTATTTAATCATTTTCTTTGCTAATTTTCTATAATATTTTCTTAACTAGCACTACTTTCTTTAGTCGGTTATAGTGATGAATTAAAGTTTTATCAATTACATCTGATTGTCTAGCCTTAAGTTTTATCAATTCTTACCGGTGGGAGTTACAAGTATGTCTTTCTTTCTTGAATGTTTTGATTTCTAGGATTATATCATTGCTAGGTTAATTCAAACATCGTATAGCTTGTAATATGGTCTGAGTTGAGTCTAGTTTGAATTACAGATATGTTAATATGTCTATAACAACCCAACTCGTGAAAGGTAAAACAAATACACATGTCCGATTAGATTTATGTTGTACTTTTGTTATATTTACTCTATACAAAATTTTAAAATTTAACTAGACCAAAACAAAACTTGTACGTCTAAATTATACAATGTTGTAATTTTAAGAGAAATGTTTTTTTTTTTTTTGGTTTCTTTTAAACGAAGGTGAATTGTGTGTGGGATAGTTATACTCCACGTTTGATCTACTCATGTTTCTTTATTGCCCAAAATATAAATTTCATCTTATTGACTACGCAAATTAATACTTAATATGTTGATATCGACTGCTGACTGGTGGGATCATCAGTCCGTGTCATTTACATGCGATTCCGTGGGAGAAAGCAACATTCCTTTACTTATCAATATGATTAAAGAAAAAAAATGTATAAATCTACAGTGTAAAATTACCGTTACAGCATCCATGACCAAACTTCAATTAGAGACTATATAACTAAATCAGTATTATTGAAGAGTAAAACTTTATCTCGATTACTTCGCTACTATACTAAAGTTAAAGACGTTGTAACTTGTCTTTCTTACGATTTGGTGGTTTGGAGTAAGATTCGAAAAATCTTAACATTTGTAACATTTTTATTTATTTGATAAAAGACCAAAATTTGTAAATTGAGTGATTGGGAATTTATGATACTCGCTAGTCAAGTTTATACATATTACAATAAGAAACAGAAGAAAGAAAAGAAAAAAAAAAACTCATTTTGGTGACTTTTGAAGTTGTGATGAACAATTCACCAGACCTGATTTTTTTTTATATTTTTTTTTAGTTATTATTGTCAATTCTAGTTAGAAGATTAATGAGCGGTCGTCTGATCCATTTATTAGATTTCTCTATACGAAATTAAGGTATAACTAAACAAAACAAAAAAATGTTAACTTAAAAAACAAAAAAAACAAAAACATGTTCAAAGAACAAATACGACAGAGTACGTGTGTGTGGGATATATACTAGTTGAGTTCTTAATTATACTCCAACGTTGAAATCTACTCTTGTCTTGTTTATTGAACAAAATATAATAGTCAGTTTATTGACTATGCAAATTAATAATATTTAATACGTTTGAAGCTTGCCTGAAATATAAAGTTGATGATGTTGATTGCTAACTGGTAGGACAATTAATCAGTCCATGTCATTTCCATGCGATTCAGTGGGAGAAAGCAATGTTCCTTTACTCGTCAGAATGATCTAAAAAAATGTATCACATTCCACAATTTAAAAGAGGTACAACTAATCAAGTACTATTGAAGTAGAAAATTGAGAGTTATATAGAGAGTTCCTGAAAGAAGGTAAATATCATTTTTTTTTTTTTTTTTATATTGACCCTCGTCTTTTAATGCTGCGATGAAAGCTTTAGAATTGGTCCAACTCAACACATTTGGCTCCATATTGTGCTATTGTCTAATTTTGTAATTATTATAATCATCTTTTAATGCTGTTAAAAAAAGTTTATGTTGTGTGGGTTTGATTATAATCTTCTCAAGGAAGGTGTATTATCTATATATATGTAGATAGTTTGATGACAACTACATTAATGACTTTGACCTATCCCATCTAACTTCTTCTTTCTGTAGAATCTTTCTAAATATAAAAAAAGTTTCAACGCGTTTGAATTTTGATTTCACCCACTCAAGTAGTTAATGTGGTACACATGTGAGTTTTCATGTTAGTAAAGAAATTGTGCAGGCCAAAAATGATTTCACCTAGTGTCTCAATTAACTCTTACGTAATTGATTCTTTTTTAAATTCATTATTACAAAAAAAAATAAAAAATGTTCGATCATAACAAATTCTAGTGTTGAAGAAATCATACTTGGTTATATATTAGAAAGTGACACAAGAAAAAAACAATATGAATATATTGTAACTCGTTGTTCAAAATATATATATATATATATATATATGTAAAAATGAATATCGAATATTAACTTCACATTATTTAAAAGGACAAAAAAGAAATGTGCAGACCAAATTTGTTTTTTGACCAAATTAATTTAATCTGCCTAGCTAGCGTATCAAATAACTCTTTATACATTAATGAGAAAACACAATAATATAAAATGGTGTTGACAAGTGAATGTTATGAAACAAATATCAATGCATGGGCAAGTCCCTCAACTTTGATGAATGGAGCTACCTATATAAATATATATCATGCAGCTACCCAATTTTTCATGTTATAATAGGGGTTAACTCGGATATATAGCACTTAAATAAAATGGCACTTTAACACAGTTAGACAAATATACTCGAATGGTATAACTTATACAAATTAAAAAAAGCTTAACTCGAGCAAAGAAAAGTATGTTACGTGTTTGAATCTAGCTTCAATCTTCTTTATTACCATTTTTGAAAAAAGTATAGGTGATGAGTGAGCAAATATGATCGTTCTGTTGGAGATGACTCAGATCGATGAGAGTTTGTGTAAATTAATATGTTCATCAATCTCTCAAGTCTTAACTAAAATGGCAACATATATGGTTTAGGAAAAATGAAACCCACGCGAAACGCGTATTCCTATATGAAGAAAGTCTCTGGGAAAGAAAAACCAATGATTCCTTCAATATCCGGTTTATTCCGATTTACACCCGGTTTATTGTCCCTCAAATTTGAACCGATTTCATCGTCTGTTACCATTATAAAATGCGCCTGAAACCCATCTTTCTCTTTATAATTCTCTTCTCTTTCTAAAAACATCCATTGGAGAGAAACGCAGCTTTTCTCACTAGTTCATCGATTTACACGAGTTTGGC